TTATTCCCATGCACTGGACTACTCAACTCACTCAGCTTTATCTAACGTTGAATAAATGACACACAACCATTTTATATAGCACAATTATAAACAAATTGTGGGCAAGGTTATTACAATTACAAAAATATCACAACAGTCAGGTCAATACAAAAAATCAATGCATGCTATTGACAAAGGCATGGCAATACAAGTACTTCAACAGTACAAACTTGCACAAAAAGAATAGTACTGAATAGTTAAAGGAAAGAGGATCAAGAACTTACCATAAGACTTCAACAAAATCTTTATAATAGGAAGTGCAAGTACCCCAACTGAAGCGGACCAATGATGGGAATCCAAACACAGAGTGTTTGTGATGTTCCAACCAGGCCTTTGTTCCAGGATCTATGCAGATGAAAACATGACCAGATTAAACCGCTGGGACAAGAAGTTCAAGCATTTAATAGAGCTTAGCACCTAACAACGTACCTCCAGGGTATCCAGAGCCAAAGTTTCTATGCATGTTTTCTGCTGTTTCCTCAAGCACCCACTCTCGCAAGGCTCGATCTCTTGTTACCTGCATGGTTGAAGGGAAATAATGGTTTCTATTATCAGAAAGCATTATGCAATAAACTTAGATGCAACTAAAAAGGCGAGCTAATTACCTTAGCAACTATGCTTGCCCCGCTAACAACAGGATAAATACTATCAGCCTTCTTTGAAACACAAAATTTAATGGATGGAAACCTCTCTGTTAATTTCATTTTATACTTCTCGGCATCTCCAACCGTATCCAAATAAACCTGATGTAATGCAAAGATTTTAGCTACTTTTATCCACAAAACTTCAAGCAAATAAAGACTGTCTAATGTCCAGTTTTTGCTTCAGACTGATCTTGAAACATAAATAATTTCTGGAAAATCTTTTCCATGTTGCGTAAGTTAGCAAGTGATTTTGCAATTTCAGATTCTCAAATATTAAGATGGTTCATGTCATTCTTAGTTAAACAACTGGGTGAACCTAGTTATGATAGGATCTTAACATATCAGCATAGCAAGTTTGTTTCCAAGTGTGCATGACAGTAAATAGATCCTGTAGAGATTTGAAGAATTACCCTATACAGCAAAGTTCCTTTCACAATCTTGGAGAAGCTACATCCACTCCTAATCTCCGTTCCTAATTTTCTTTCTCTAGCTCTATAAAATATGTTGATTACTAGAACATCCCACATAAAAAATAGCATATTAAATGTATTTTCAAGACATACAGATAAGAAAAGCAGTTATTAGAAAGAGAGAATACAAGGGAGAATAAGATATCCCCCTAAAAGAAGTGAAAATGGAAGACATGAGAAAGATAAAATGATAACATAACATCAATGCAGAACATGCAGCCCCAATCCCTTTGCAATAAAGAAATCCCAAAAAACCAGAAGCTTTCATCAACTTCTCGAAAATATTATTTTCTCTAATATAGAATTTCACAGAATCATTGAACACCATCTTCCTCTTGATAGACATGTTTTGAACTACATTCTTGATCACAAAGCTTTTTTCCGATAAAATAGAAAGTAGGCAATCCACCAGATATTCAAAACTGATTATAGCAAAACAAAACCTATTGGGCACTGACAGCTTTTCGGTCTGCTTGCAAGATTCATATTGAAAAATGAATAATTAGAAGAGGCATCTTATTTGCGTTACAGAAACATTTACCTCAGTTAGAAGAACTCCCATGTTTAGTACCTTGGTAATGAGGTCCATTGCAGAATCATGTGATATCTCATTTAAGTTAATTTTGTTTCTGTCGCAAACAAACCCAAGAGATGATGTAAGAAACAAGAAAATCAAAGAAAATCTTTTAAAATGTCATGACTTCAGCACTGACTTTCTGAGCATTTTAGCTGAGAGCTCCTTGGGATCTATGACATCAACAGCCCATCCTAGTGATTCATCAGCCTGTAATTGCTCAAATAGTTCCTCCCTTTTCTCTTCTTTTAAGGTCTTTGAATCTACAGTCACAAGAATAAAAAGTAGAAGCATTAGTATCGCTTACCATTCAAGCAGAAAACTTGTAAAATGCAAACTACAAGTAATATTTTCCAATTTTCCCAAGATTAGAGCCACTAATTAAAACACCCTGGAAAGAACATTAACATTCTCTATCGGTTCAAATTTATAATACATCAAAGCAGCACAGAGTACACCAGGAAAAAGGCCACAGAAATTATCTAGGCATAAAACCGTGTAGAGTTCATATCCCAAAGCGACGATTGATGAGAACCTTCCTAAAAGCATAGAGTACCAAAATACTTTTCAAAATAAGAATCTAAAATAAGTAGCAGGAAAAGTTCAAACTCAGTGAACACCTAAACCCACTTAGATCAGGAAGTTAGTAGATCGATCTCTCTTAACATAAAAGACAACCACATAATACTATATGCATTTACATTTGGCCAAATTTGTTGCCAGCTCACAATCCATAGACATAGAAGACGTTGGGTAGATATCCCAACATCCCACTATTCCTAATTTATGATTCCACAAAGTAAAAGAGGAAGACTATGATGGATTCAAATCTTACGAGTTGGGAAGCTGTAGCCCAGCATATATTACGCATGTTACCTGATCATCCAGGTGACAGTTCTTCAGAATCTAAACTGCTTTAGTTCACAACAAACTTTTCGTTTCTATGTAACCTATCCACTTAAAATTTGGAAAGCAGGCATGCAACAAAGTGGGGATCAAATAGGAAAAGGCTAGCCATGATCACCATACTAGCCCCAAGAACACATAAATCCAGCAACAGATTAATAGAAAATAAGCTAATTAAAAGGCTGAAATGGGGATCCATGCCTAAAATGCTCAAGCTCATTCGGAAGGGAAAAATTTTTTAACTCTCTCTCTCTCGGCTAATATACATGTACAATAATACCCATATTCTATTGCATATATATTTTCACATTATCCTATCACACTTAAAATTTAGCCAAATCATAAAAGAACATTAAGTGGAAAAGATAAAAAAGCACATAACTATCACAATTAAACAAAAAATAAGATACAAACAAATTGAAGAATAAAAAAGAAAAAAAGAAAACACCTGCAAAGTTCAAAGTAGAGAGAGTCTTCTGATATGAACGGGCACAGTACAAGCATCCATACACCATTGGTCCTGAAACAAATAAACATCTTCTGATAAAAACACTTGTTTCGAAAAAGAAATCGAAACCAAAAAGCTGAAAGGAAATAGATGCACGGAAATTTAAAGAACAATTAGAGAAGTATCCGAAAGCAAAACAAGAAGACCTAAAACAGGACCGCGACCAGCTTCGTCGATGCCCATTATGCAAGGCTTTGAGGCCCATTTGGGCAAAGCAGTTCCGATCCCATAGCCGTCTCTCTTTCTCAGCTCTGGTGTCGTGCCACCCGCGAGAAAACGAGCAGTGAAGCAAGCAGTGGAATTTCGGATTTCGGAAAAATTATTTCCGCTTAAACATGTTTCCCGCGATTTCTTCTCCCAATGTATATTGAAGCGGACCGAACGCGAAGTAGGAATTTTAAAATGAATCCAAGGAAAAATATTTTAGAAGTAAAAAATAAAATAATATTTGACAATAATTAATGGCTAAAGCAATAATCTGGTTTTTTACTTTTGTAATTTGTTTAAATTAATTTTTATTTCAATTTTTTGTCAAATTAAATTTTTATATTTTAAAAATTTTTTAATTTTAATTTTTTTTTATTAGCAAATATTATTATCATTAACTTAAATATCATATAACAATTTTATTAATACTTGATACTATTTAATTACACTGAATGAATATTATGTAACATTGGATGTATTATTCATCCAATAAAAATTATTAATTCGTTAAAACTTTAATGCTTTTTTTTGACATTGCCTTAACGGAGAAGGGAGAGGCACTGCCTTGTCCGGAAGGGAATCGATCCCCAACAAAGTCAAGATACAGTTGGAGGAGAATCACTTTCCGATACTTGATGAGGAACTGATGATGGAGGAAGTGATGGCGGAAGGAGATATAGAAACGGAGGATGTAGCGCCCGGAAAGGAGGAGGAAAAAAAAAAAAAAAAAAAAAAAAAA